GTTTTCCCTGCGCCTGTGTGCAGCATGAGCTTGGCTGGGGGTGCTGGGTAGCTGCGTTCCTCTCCTGTCTCCGCTGTGCATTCACACAAGTCACCGGTTACCGAGAGCACGCTCACTCCGGCTGCAGCTGCACTTTGGGCCATTCGGGCCATTGGCCTTCCCAGCTCACCCGCCCTGGAGATTTAGTGTCTCGTGCGGCGACAGTGCTGCTGGACAGTGGTGTCACCCAGGGCTTCACACTTAGCGAGCCCACCTGACCATGGCGACAGAGCGGCCCATCCTCACGTCTTGCTGTCCCCTCCAGAACCTCTGAGCCAGTTGAGCCCATGCGACGGGACAGTAGCAGCCCCGTACAGAAGCACCGCAGACACTCGCTGCTCTCCCTGAACTTCAGCAGGTTTTCAAACACAAACACTCCTCAATGGTTTTGTCTTTGAGCAGTTGGCAGAGCGCTGCCATGGTGGTGGTGTCGGTGTCGCACAGCTCTCTAACTGCTTTGCAGGGGAAGGGTTTGCCAGCTTCTCCCTTGGCCACAGCTGCAAGTCCTGCCTTCTTGTCTTAACTCAGCCACAGTGTCATTGTCACTCCCTGACCCAAGTCAGCATCACAGTTGCCATTGGGATCCAAAATAAAGGCCTCCACCTGGTAACTGGCTGGTGTGCCTCCTGCGTGCCCTTTAACCCATGTCCCCTGCACTTGCTCACTCCTTCTCTCTTTCCCTCTCCCCCACCCATGGTCCATTTGTCAGAGAAACTGGCTCATTTTTCCTGCAGCATTTTCCACTTTCTGGAATTTGCTGAGTGCATCCTGTGGTGGTATTGCACTTGTTTCTCTGCCCGCTGCATTTCCCGTAAAGTGATCTCGGGATCTAGAGGCTTGGTCCCGTTCAGGTGCTGTGCGTATTGGTGGCTTCCCACCAGAGACCCATCCTGTCTGCCTGTCTTGCTTTCTGTGGTATTAGTAGCTGGTGATGCCCAATGTCTTGATCCAGAAGGGGCTGCGAATGGTTGATTTTCTAGTTTTAGCTTGTCTTCTTCATTTATGAGACACAGTACTTCTGTAAGGAAGAACTTCTCTTCATCTACTCTGCTGTCATCCAATAGTGTGGGAAGTCCTTACGGGAAAAGCAAGACAAAGGCTGGCTTCTTTCACTTTATTTACCAATTTCCAAGGTAGTGAATTTGTTCTCTATACCCCTTAACAGTGATAAGTGGGTGGTGGCGGTTCTGGTGCCATTACGAGTTTAGGTGTATTTGCTCTGTTTCAGTCATACATAGTTAGAGTAGCTAGAATCGTTTATCCATCATTGGAGGGGAGGCCTCTCTGGGCCGGCTGAGACCTTCTGAGGGCCCAGAGTCCTTCTTGCTATTGAACAGTCCATTGCTTCTAAGCCTTGTCATTATATGCCTGTGTTTCAGCAAATACCATTTTCCTGTAATATGCAGAGTATTTAGCTATGTGGACAGTTTTGGAAACAGCAACTTTTGTCCTTGGAAATACTTGGCCAAGACTGAGCTGTTGCTGTTCTGTAGGAATCTCTCCCTCATGGGCTGACTAACAGTTGTCTCCGCCTTATGGTGGGGCTGGTCTAGATCTCTACAGTAACCTTACTAAGGGGCATCTCTTTGGACCCTTTTTCCTTGTGCCTGAACCAAGTTCATAACTTCCCACCCTAAGCAGACAGTTGCACAGACACCATCATGGGCACCTTTTCTCCCTGTTGAGGAGCTTCCTCAACTCAGAATGCCTGCCGTTCTTGGTGGCTTAAGTATCATATTACATTCTGTTCCTTCTGGCCAGTATTCTGCATCCTTTTACATGTTTCTCATCATTTATTTTGAACCTCTGCTAAGTGCACGAGGGCCTCATCTACAGGTCTCGGCCATTTAACAGCTCCTGCTAACAGGGGCAGTGTCTTTTGACAATATATTTCCATGTCTTGTCAGTTATAGTGATGACCACTCCCTGCCTCTCAAGCTTCATAGTCATTGACTGGAGGCTGTGTAGGGCGAAGATGCTGAGCCTGGTCAAATCAGGGCAACTGCATTTGGATGCAGTGCCCTCTCTTCATTCACCAGAGACCCTTGTCAAATCAGACAGCAAGTTACTGTGAGGCTCAACCGGCCAAAGCAGCACGAATGTGCTCTTTGAAGAGTGAAGCTTTGTGCAGATGTCGCAAGCAATGTGATGCCATCAGTGGCAGCTCAGTGGTGGTGCCCCAGATCCTCGGGGAGTGGCCCAGAGCCCAATAAGGGTAGCGACCCTACTTTGTTCAGCACTGTATGCCCAGCACCTGGCTGGGGGTAGATGCAATAGAAAAGAAAGAGTAGGCAGTGCAGAGTAGCCAGCAGCTGAGTGCAGACGAACTACAGTGTGAGCCACAAGGTGCAAAGCGGAACGTGATCAGCAATGTGGGTTTTCTATTGCACACAAGACTTTTCTGGCACCTTGACTATATACCATTGTAGAGTACGCGCTCCTTTTTGGATTCAAGTATTTACAGGTATGGAGATGGTAGTTACACAGGTAGTTATACAGAATATTTAAACTGTACACTTAAAATATGTGCACTTGATTGTACAAAAATTATACCTCAAAGTTAAGTTTTAGGTGGATAAAAGAGGATTCTGTGAAGATAGTAGAGTAGGAACCACCAACCTCTAGACAACAATTACATTGGTAGAATCTGTCTGTAGAACTATTTTGGAACTCTGGAGTCTATTGAAGGCTTCCACCTTCCAGAGAAAGGCTTGGATGGTGAATTAAGGTTAATTTTGGTCAATTTCTGCTCTTAGCACAGTAGCAGCTGCCCACTCCCATCTCTCACTCCCAGCCCCTGCCAGGCAGCCGTGCATGAGTTCCTGGAGCAACAACAGCAACGACTACAGCAAAAGAAAACAGTCAAATATGGGCAAAGGGCTTGAATAGACATTTCGCCAAAGGAGATGTACCAGTGACTAATAAGCACAGGAAAAGATGCTCCATGTCACAAATCATTAAGGAAATGCAAATTAAAACTATAGTGAGATACCACCTCACACCCATCAGGACGGCTGCTGTCCAAATAACAGAGAACAAGTGTTGTCAAGGATGTAGAGAAATTGGAACTCTCATACACTGTTGGTGGGAATGTAAAATGGCACAGTCATTGTAGAACATAGCATGGTGGTTCCTCAAAAAATTAAAAATAGAATTAGCATATGACCCAGCAATTCCACTTCTGGATACATATTCAAAAGCCTCAAAAATGTATCTGACACCCGTGTTCGTAGCATCATTATACACAGTAGCTAACCTATGGAAGCAGCCTGCCAGCAAATGAATGGATGAGCAAAACATGGTACGTCCACACAAGGAATATTATTCCAAAATTATTCCATTATTCCAGCCTTAAAAAGACATGAAATTCCAACACAGGCTGCAACAGGGATAAATCTTGAGGACAATATGCTGAGTAAAATAAGCCAGTCACAGAAAGACAATATTGTATGATTCCATGTACATGAGGCATTTAGTCAAAATCCTAACAAGTTGTTGCATTACACCGGAGAATCAACAAATGGTAAGGTAGCGCATCAGAGTGCACACATAGTCCAGCAGGCTGACTTGCCACCTGCTGGATCGTCAGCTACTCGGCCCTCAAGCTATGTCACATGGACAGTGGATCAGCAATGAATGCTCAGGCTCTTGGGGCAGAGCGCCTGGGTTCGAATCCCAGCTTCCATAAAGCTCTGTGACCTTGAGCAAGTTAGTTTGCCACTGGTGCCTCCGTTTCCTCTCCTGAAAAATGGGCATAATAATGTTTACCTCATAGGATTTTGTGAGGATTAAGTAAGTTAATGCAAAAAGAGTTTAGGATAGTACTGGTCCATAGTGGGCACTCAGTGTATGTTGACTGTCATGATTATTTGACAGTAATTATTGCGAACTCTTAGTCTTGATTATCCGTATCATTGTTATTGTCAGGGCTTGACCAGTTGGGGGACTCAACAGCACATGGTTTCCCGTGCAGCTCTCTGGCCCTCCCTAGAGCCGTCAGCAGCAGGTGGCGGCCTGTCTCAGCCTCTGCAGTCCTTGGCCCCTCTACCCCAGTCCTTCAGGAGTCCTGCTTTGGACGGGTGACTCGGTCTTGCCAACACCCCCATTCTGACCTAGCCCAGGCCGGGGCTTCCTAAGTGTCATTTCGTAGTGGGCCAGGCCAGGCCATTTCCCGTAGGACCCCCTACCTGGGAGAGGGAGAGCAGAGGGAGGAGTGGGGGAGAGAAGCCTTATGACGGCCCAGTAGGGCGCTAGGACCTTTACACGTACTGCCCACTGGAAGCCTCTGAATCGCTGTGAAAAGGCACCCTTTGGGCGTTGTGTGTGCGGCGCTGAGGGCCGCTCAGTGAGAGGAGGGGCTTGCCTGCCCCCGATGTGGGGCCTGGCTCCTGGCCTCAGGGAGTCTCACCTTCTCCAGAGCAGCTCTTGGCTAGTTTCCTCCCCAGTATCCTCTGCATCTCCCCCTGGGGCTTCACACTTGACCTCCTCATCTGCCAGCGCCCAGGGCTGGCGCTGCTGTGACCCTGAGCGCCTTCCCTGTTGCTACCCACGCATGGCAGCCTGCTTCTGCAGGCTTTCCTGCTGCCAGAGACGTCGGTGAAGATGCTCACCAGTGGCCCGTTGGAAGAGGCAGGAGGGCCTCCCGGGCAGGGGGAGCAGCGTGTCCAGAGGCCCGAGAGAACCTGGTGTGTTCAGGGAGGAAAGACGTCGCCGTACCTGGAGGGCCCTGGGGCCCCACTAGGGAACGGGGCGTCCCTGCCTCGCGGTGGAGCAGCCGGGAAGGGCCGGAGAAGGGGCGGAGTCTGCTCAGGTGTGGATTTTCAAAAGATAGCTTCGACGGTGGAGAGGATTCTTTCAAAAGCAAATTTTTTCTAGACCTCTGATGTCATCTTGCATTATCCCGTGTAACTGGTAAAATGTTTATTTTTAACAGTTGAAATGTAATCTGTCGTATTTTGTAGATGGAAGTTTCTTAGCAATAGGCTCCCATGACAACTGTATCTATATATACGGAGTCGGTGACGGCGGGCGGAAGTACACGCGAGTGGGCAAGTGCTCGGTAAGCCTCTGCCCTGTCCCCCCGGTGTGCATGTGCTCCGTCAGTCACGCCCGCCCAGGGTTAGTCGGGAGTGTGTAAAGCCAGGGACACTCACCCGGTGGCTCTCTCCCCCAGGGTCACTCCAGCTTCATCACACACCTGGACTGGTCTGTAAACTCCCAGTTCCTCGTGTCAAATTCTGGAGACTATGAAATCCTCTATTGTGAGTAACACCCCAGGAGTTGCCTGGATTCAGAACACGTGGAGTGTTCACTCTGACACCAAATGGGGCCTCCTTCAAAACACCACTTCCCATGTGCCTCAGGCGCATGATGTCCCCTCTGGGCAGAGCTTCCTCCTCTGTGAAACAGAGGAGACGGGCTGGACGCCCTCTCAAGTCCTTCCTGACCCTGAGACACTTGGGATTCTGGCCGACTGCAGGCCCTTTGGGGGAGGAGATATGGGGCTCTTAGGAGCAGTGGCTGACTTAGGCAGACGTGGCAGGAGAGTGGGGTCAGAGCTGTCACAGTGAGGGCGTCCTTTGTGACTCGGCATCCTGAGCAGGAGAGACCATGAAATCTCCAGCCTGGGTGGACGGCAGCCCCCAGGACCCCTTCTCTTCCGCTCCCACCCATCCCAGCCAGTGTCTGTGCCCAGGCAGGACCTGGGAACGTGAGGATGATAAAGGCTGGCAATTAGGGAGCATGTACCACATGCTGTGTGCTGGTTCCTCACTCATTTGCCAACCCCCCGAGTCATGCCAGGCTCCGACCTGAACACGGGATTGTGAGCATGAACACAGGCGTGTGGAGGCCTGGTGTCCACCTGGCTGGAAGGCCCTGGAAGTGCAGTGTTGTTCCTAATGGTCCCACGGGGCCCACAGCACTTTCAGGCTTATCCCATTTTATACACAAGGAAACCTGGGCTCCTAAACGAGGCCAGAGGCATGAAGAGCCCATGGGTGGGAGCAGTCACTGGTCGAGGAGCCCAGGGCAGCCAGAGCTGCCAGGGGTGTAGGAACATGGGAATAGCCTGAGCCAGGACCACGCCTCCCTCCAGAAGTTACCGGAACTGTGCTTGATTTTCCAGGGGTCCCTTCTGCTTGTAAGCAAGTCGTAAGTGTGGAAACTACGAGAGACATTGAATGGGCTACATACACCTGCACTTTGGGATTCCATGTCTTTGGTAAGTTTCCTGCAGCTTCCATTCAGTTCAGACACAAGGTGTGGCTGCTTTCAGAATAGTTCTCTGATAGTTGTGAGATTTCACAGTCACCAGTTTTGTCCAGCTCCTCAGTTGGTGCATGGACCCTGCAGGAACGCACTCCGCAGCTCCCTGGGGAGGAGCCAAAGAGGTGGGTCTTAGCTCTTTTCTATGGTATGAAATGTGTCCTGAGATAATTCTGTAGAGTCTTCTCATATAAGGTTGTGCCGAACTTTCTAGACAGATGGACTAGATAGCACTCAGTGAATTCACTGATCATTTGTTAGAGTTACTATATTTCTTTGGTCCCTAAGCTAAATGTTTTGCTCCCTTCAAAGTTCAGATTATAAATATATTCATAAATGGTCTAAAATAAATTGCCACATTTTAGTAGAATTTTAAAAAAGCAGTATTTATGATCTCTTTACGTAAGACCGTAAGTCAATAAAATAAATACGTAAGACCGTAAGTCAATACATAAGACCTGGTCAGGACTCTGGTCAGAATCTCACAAGTCTCGTACGAGCTGACATTTTACCATTCTCTAGTATAAATGCCAGGACCCCCTGGGTCTACTCCAGATCTGCCAGTTGAGAAACAGACTCACTCAACTCTCTTAAATTCAAAGTTATTGGAATCAGAAGGGTTTCCTAGAGCAGTGGTCAGGAGACACCACTCCCTCTCCCCTAGACCCCATTCCAGGCCACCTAGGCCACAGGGCCCCAAAACAAACTGCCAGAGCCCAGCCCACAATGGGCAGATACCTGTCAGGTGTCACCAGGCAAGTAAGCAGCCACAGTGAGCTGACACCAGGGAAGGCCTGAAAGACACATAGACCCAGAATTTAAAAGCCCTTTGACTCTCATATGTAAGAGTTATGCCAAAAAAAGAAACGCTAGGAAACTGCAGGCTTGAGGACTAGTCAGCTTCCCATCAGATGCTCAGGGATAAAGGGAAAGCATTGTGTTCAGAACCAAGGCTTCTGGAACTCTCTGCTGTAGTATCAAGGGCCCAACAGAGATGGAAGCCAGAAAGCCTATCATTGCTGTTCCCATGAAGGGTTAAGCATTGAAACATTCCCTGGGAATGGCCTGGAGTGCAGTGATCACAGAACAGGGAGGGGTGGAGCCGGATCAAAGTACTCTTCTGGCCCTGGTTTCTCATGCCTGGGACTTGTGGCAGTTTTATTTTCATGAGAGCTCAGTCCGCATGCAGTGTGGCCCAGTGCCTCTGGTATTTCCAGTGCTTTGTCTGCACCCTTTGTTTTAGGAGTGTGGCCAGAAGGCTCCGACGGAACCGACATCAATGCCGTCTGTCGGGCCCACGAGAAAAAGCTCCTGTCCACTGGCGATGACTTCGGCAAAGTGCACCTCTTCTCTTACCCGTGTTCCCAGTTCAGGGTAAAGGGCTCCACTCAGCCACTACTCATACCCTTGGGGGTGTGCACTCCCGACCCACCTGGCTGCTGGTAGTTGAATGGAAAGGTGCAGTGTGTGAACACTGCCCATCATTCATGGGGATGTGACCCTGCCGTCCTGCTGTCCTAGAGCTTCGGGGCTCCCCACTGCTCTCTGGGGAAGCCCTAGATCTGGCTTGTGCCCCTGTGGCTGCCTGCACAGTCCTCACCCCTCCCTGCTCCACCTCACTCCCTGTGCCCCAGCCTGCGAGCTGAGCCCAGGCCAATGACTGAAATGCCCGCCTTGTTCTTCCCGGGCCTGATCCCCCTTCCCCCTTGGCCCCTGGCATCTCTTTTGGGTCAGCCCTGTGCCCAACGCATCCCTCTGGTATGAGACACGTTTCGGCCTGGGGCCATCATTGGCCTGCACCTTTCCCCGACCAGACCAGATTCTTCATGCACTGGGGACCAGGGGCTCCGTGTGGTTCATTTCTGTGTCCCTCCTGTGTCCGTGCCCTGCTGAGCTGCTGAGCAGGCCAAGAAAGAAGGGATGAAAGGATGAATGTAGAATTCTTGCACTTTCCAACTCCAGATAGTTTGCTTGGCACTGATCCCCCTCTGTGTCCCTCTTCCCCAGGCCCCCAGCCACGTCTACAGTGGGCATAGCAGCCATGTCACCAGCGTCGATTTCCTCTGTGATGACAGCCATCTCATCTCCACAGGCGGCAAGGACACGAGCATCATGCAGTGGCGGGTCATCTAGTCCCGGAGGAACTGAGGGAGAACAGGCTGGGGGGCTCGGGCGCCATAGCTGGGTCACTGTGATTGTTCTGTCTGCAAAGGTCTTACAAACCTCAGGAAAACTCCTCCCACGACCAGTTACCTTAGCTCAGTGAGTCGGTGAGCGCCACGTCGGATCGCAGTTCTGGTGTCTCTTTTGTTGTACAATATATCAAACCAGTGCAGATTTAATATAAAAACGATGCCGAGGTGTACATGGGGGTGACATCGGCAGAAGTAACTGGTGTGTCCCTCGTAGCTCTTCCATGAACTCTTCAAAAATGGTCACGGAATGCCTTCTAAAATACTGTATATAGGCTCTACTGTGCCACCATCCAGCTCGCTACATCAAATATTTATGACAACCAGGAGGTACTGAATCATTATGGCTGTTGATTAACTGGTCCTAAGTGGGTAAATCAATTGAGAAGAGAGTGAATTACTGATTAGCACAGCTGGATCAGGAAAGGCAAACATGACTCTATTTGGTTACATGTTCTAAGGTTTACTCAGTTCTCCCTCTGGGAGGCAGGTGAGAAAGAGGTTGTCTTCTTGTGTTAAGTAGATTCTACTCCGGATCAGGAGGATACATGGGCATTTTGGAGTTTTGGTTAGACAGTCTGCCTAACCAAATGCAGTCAGCCACCTAACACCCTTTTCTTCCCTGTTCACGTGCCCTGAACAATGGGGGGACATTTAGCCCCCTTCCTCTGTATATTAATTGGCATGATATGGTATTGGACTTGCAAAGAATTTTAGGAATTCATGATAAATACGTAAGGCTAGGCTTTACTATTTTATGTTGATGGACATTGTATATTTGTATTTTAAGACCAGGTAGACCAAGTCAAAAGACATCTCGTACATGTACCACAGACCTATGGCCGCGGGGAGAAGTCGGAGTGCTCCAGAAGGCATAAGGGCAGCTCCCTTGGTGCATGGATGGCTCATTACCTTCTGAAATAAGATCATGTTCTGATGAGTAAAACATACGTGGCATACATTTGTCAAGAAGGCCTTATCCATTTTGATTGTGTGACAGATTGAAATTTATTGTTTACATCTGGGAATGTATCTCAGATATCAAAAATAGAAGAGTAATAAGCAGACTTAAAAACAAATATTAAGATTTTTCACTTGTTCTAGGCAAACAAATGAATTGAGTTGTCTGACCTCTACAGCACCGGTTGCTTAGAGTGGCTGATTACATGCAACGTTTGCAAACATTTTTCATGACATCTCCATCCTGCTGAAGTGCAGGGCACCAGTAAACAGTATGTACTAAAGATGAATCTGTTTGTATGGATCCTTATCAAATATATTCTGTAATGAAATAAAATCTGAAAAGTGGATTTCTTATTGACCTATAATCATGAAAGTATATAAATTAAAATATTTAAAATTAGATACGATTCATCCTATATTCTGTTTCATGTACAGATTTTATTCTTCTCACCTGAGTCATTTGCCGATGGAACTATAGTTTGCATAGGGTATGTAAACACTGATCAAATTAGATAACTATGAAGAATTTAGCTTAATTACTGTACCCAATTGTTATTTTATTTGGTTATGTAAGTACTGGCAAAAATAATCATTTTTAAATTAATAATTAAAGAAATAACTAGACAGGGAAGAGAAAGGGACTCATTATTGACATAATTATAAGATTTACTTTTATTTCTACCTACTTCCACTCTTTTCCAAGCTCAATAATGGAAAAAGGATATGCTTATAAACCACTATTGCTATCTTCATACTTGCCTGCATTGTAAATGGACTTCTTTAAACAGCCTGGTATAAGCTTTGGGGGTATTCATTACTCGCTCGCTCACTCATTAACACAGCTTGCGATGCTGTGTGCCAGCACTCACCTCTCTCAGCAAACAAGGCCTCAAGCCTCCAGGATTGTGCTGGAACAGGAGGCCCCAGAAGCCAGGGTGGTGCCAGGCCCCTTCCTCCCACTGGCGCGAGGCCACTTCAGCTTAGCCTGGCTACGCAGGGTGTGGCGAGGGGCTGTTACTCTTATCTCAGTAAGTGGTACGGTGATGGTGGCGTGGATGAGATGTGAGCACTGGATGGGAGAGGCAAGGGGATTGGCCCAGAGAGGCTGTGGGGTGATGTCAGTAGGGCCTGTGATGGGTGGGGCATGCGCAGTGGGGAGGCCCAGGTCCCGGACTTTGCTGGTGGGATTGGCGTGCCATTAGCTAAGACAGGGAGCACTGCAAGTTTGGAGGAGGGTGATGAGTCAGGCCTGGGACAGGCTGAAGTGAGGTGTAGGGCCTCGGACATCCAAGTGCACGTGTGAAGTAGGCATTTGGCCGGCAGGCTCGGAACCGAAGTCCAGCAGATAGTGCTACTGGGAGGCTGTCCACGGGAAGCCAGCATCTGACATGAGGGTATGGCTGAGATTGCAGGGTGCCATCTGGGCAAGCAGAGGGCCTCTGACCTAGCTGGGGGACTGGGAATCAAGGGCAGGCAGAGGGGTATGAGATGTCAGCAGGTAGCAGAAGAGCGAGGAGAGGGTTGGGGTGGAGCAGAAAACAGACCCAGGTGAGGGGGATCTGAGGACCTGGCAGCAGGGGCTGGGTGTGGTGCTCACGAAGCCGGTGTGGGCTCGTCCCTCAGTTAGGAAAGGGCTTTCCAGCATCTCTGTGCAAAGCGGTGTTGGGCAGGAGCTCCAGGCATGGTCAGGGGCCTCATCAAGTGAGGTCAGGATGAGGGCACAGGGGTCTTCCATGGCCTACTGGACCTGGGTAGAGAGAAGGCTCAGGATTCCTGGCACTCACAGACTCACACTTGGGTTTCTGTGTGTGTGGTGCACCCTGGCAGTGGGGTGCAGAAGTGGTCTGCGGGTCACTGGAGAGCCCACTCAGGCATCTCCCCAAAGCCCCTGATATTGTTGAGTGACTGCTTCCACTCCCAGGTTTGGGAACAGGCCACCGTCATCGAATCCCAGAGGCAGAAGAGTGCATAGCAGAAACAACTTTTGAGCCCCTGTGTCCCCCTCAAAGGGGGTCCATCTAACGTACTACTGAGGGCGGCAGCTTTTTGGTGAAAATAGCTGAGAAATGTGTACTTACTGCAAGGTAGAAACTGATCCAGGCTACTCTTCCTACCATTTTTTTTAACTGTGGAAAATTTCAAACTTACACAGAAGCTAAGAGTCTTTCACGTAGCTTCAAAAAATACCAACATTTAGAAAATCTGGTTTCCTCTGTCTCCCCTCATTTTGGGGAGAGACTAGTTAAAAGGCAAGTCCGAGCCACCGTGTGAATTCACTGATGCTTCGGTCTTGATGAGGGCCCTTCATGTATCCGCCATGCTATCATTGCAGCCGACCAAGCGAATGAGCCTTTACGTTGTCTGGCACCCTGGCGGTGTTCAGATCTCTTGACTCGTCCAACCAGCCCCATCCCAGTGCCTGGCACTGCCTGGGGGTGCGATGCACCAGCCATGTTCACCTTCCTCCCATGAAGATACGGGGTCAGGGTGCAAGATCCTCCTGCAGGACCTACTTCTTCCCTACCCTGCGTGCTGCTCAGACCTGCACGCCCCCTGCCCCTCCCACGCCCTCTCCCCTGGGCTGGACGCTCAGCGGTCCGGAAACCTTGGCCCCTGCCAGCCCCTCCTGCCCTGCCCCACACTCTGCCTCTGGGTCGCCAAGCAGGGCTCCTTCCAAAATCTGCAAAAGTAGATGCCATAGCACCTGTAAGTTGAAGGCTGAAAAGGTTATCATCAAAAGTTTAAACTAGATTTACACGTAAACCTTCCCTCCCAGATCTACGCTGTTACAGGTGCACCACCTGGTGGCAGAAGCCCTGGTCCTCAGCTTGCCAAATGTGGTCTGTGGTTGCGGGGTGGGGTGGTGGGGATGGCAGGAGGGGAAAGGAAAATTCTTACTCCACTAAGGTGGTTCTCCACTCTGGACGGGCAGTTGTTTCAATTGAAAGCTCCTCTGGGAGATTTCAGAGATTCCTGGGTCCCCCACGGTGCTGGTGGTCTCACACTGGTCCCCCAGCTGGGTAAAGGCTTTCTGTTAAGCACCTGCTTTCCCCTGCAGCCCCTGCGCACAGGGAAGTCCTCCCGCAAAGTCCCACTGCCCCTCCAGGAGGCTGGACAGGATCTGAGACGACCCCAGCGCAGACCCTGGGCTAACTCGACAGCAGGCATCTGGTCTGAGGAGACTTTCCTGCGTCCTGTGCTCTGACAATGGGTGGGAAGTCACTGCCTCCTCTGGGTTCCTGGCTGAGAGCCACCTGCTGCCCTTAGGCTTCTCAAACTCTAGTCCACAAATTCCAGGGGACAGGGGACACTAGCCAAACTCTCAAGAGGCTTGGGGTGAGAGGGAAGCAACCTTACCCTGCCTCTTGGGAGAAAGGGGGTTGGAATCAACAGCTCACCTTCCCCTGAAGAAATCCTCCTTACATATGCTTTCTCAAATTTGAATTCCCAACCCTTTTGTACCCTTAACGCGGATGTGGAGGCTGAGCGGTGCCCTGGGAGGCTCCTCTGGAAACGCAGCCCACGTTTCGCAGCGTGGTTGGAAAGCAGTGTCTACTGGCTCTTGGCTCCTCTCCCGAAACGTCAGCTCAACATCTGGTTACACAACCCTGAGTATCCCTGTGCAGTCTCCTTGGGCATTGGAGCAAAAGTTTCTCCGGGATCTACTGAGGACTGCGACTACCCAGGACGCGCACACGCCCAGCTTCGCTAGGTTTCACCGATTCTTTCTGCCCAGGGGCAGCACAGGCAGGGGCGCAGAGTTCCCGCAGGCCACTTCCTCGCCGACACCCACAAGCACAGCAGCCTTGGGTGGTGATAGGCAGAGGGTCAGGAAGATGGCTGCCTGCTCACGGTTGCCAGCTAGTTGGCGGCAGAACTAAGGCGGGGACTCCCAGTTCTCCTGAGCTGCATTCCACGCCAGTGCTTTGGACTGATGCCCTGCAGAGTTGATAGGAGAGGCTCTCCTAGCTAGAAAGTGCTGAATGCCACCCGCGGCGTGTAGGCTGTAGAGATTCGGGTGCTGGTAAGGTATGAAAGGCATGGAAAAGTTCTGTAATGAAACCTGTGTATGCTGGCATTTCCCAAATGTGAGCATTGGCCACCTTCGCTCCCGAGTCGCCGATTGTTGGCCGCTGTGGATAAACTGAGAGTCCCTGTGGCCAGGATTCTCACCTGGCCCTGGTTGACTGGCTCAGTGCACACCTGTGGGCAGTACATGGCTGATGACTCTATATAAAGAGCTCCACCCAGTGCTCTGGGTGTGACACAGTGGCAGGGCTGCAGGGCTGCAGGAGAACAGAGCAGAGGCTGGATGGTGGCAGCACCAAGGACAGAGGCCCAGAGGATGGCCGTGCAGGCCAGCTGTGTGGGCAGAGGGGCCCAGAGGATGGCTGTGTGTGCAGGACAGCTGTGTGGGCAGAGGGGCCCAGAGCCAGAACCCGGCTTGCTGCATGCAGACTCGCTCTGAGTGGACGGGATTCTAGTGACTGACCTGCCACCTAGAAATAAAGTTGAGTATAATCCTTTCACCCAAGAACGTTCTGCTGTCAATTTCTTTGGTCACCTTGAATCCATAGTGATCTTGCCCGGGGCTGAAACCCATTGGCAAGACAGCCGTGAATGGGTGTTCCATGCCAACCACCTTGGGAAACCCTGGGCGAGACAGTTAGTTATACAGGGGCTTAATATAGCAAAGAAGTGAAAGGGAACCCTGGGGCCAAACCATTCTCCACCCCATCTTCTCCCCTTCCCTGTTTCTGCTAGGAAGGGCTTCAAGGCCATAGTCAAGGTGCAGTCGGGCTTCTCTGTTCTGGCATTCCCGGCCAATATCTTTATTCAAAAAGTCCCACTTTCCTCCAGAACATTGGCCTCACCAATATATACAGTCAGTAACTGAGACCCCCAGCGTCCAATGATGCACGTCGTCTGGCAATGGAACAAGCCCCTGACCAAGGGAGGAGGGACCCTGGCTCCTTGTATGAGGACAGCTGCCATGGTGTTAGGAGGGGCGGAGCGAGGGGACACTAGGGGAGAATTTGCTTATAACAGTGGGGGTGATTTCCCCCACTCACCAGTCCTGAGCTAGGAAATGCCCAGCTCCCCGCCACGACACAGCTGATGTCACGTGGTCTGGGACATTCTGGGAGTCCTCTGCCCAAAGGGGCTTCCGTGTCTCAGGTTACCCCCAGGACCCTCGGAACCATGACTACAGAAAAGGAGAGCGGGCCCTTCTTGCTGCCCACACGCCACGTGCACCCTCGAGACTGCGTGGTGTGCCTGTTCTCACCTGGTTTATTGGGTTTATCTCGCTCTGATTCTCACAGAAGCCAGGTGTGGAAACCACAGCCCCAGCTCATTGTGTGCCTTTGAAGGAAGCCATGAGAGAAGCCAGCTGTCACC